TGACGATGATGATGATGCTGATGATGATGATGATGCTGATGATGATGCTGACACTGCTGCTGATGATGATGATGATGATGCTGATGATGATGGTGCTAAGGCTGATGATGATGATGATGATGCTGATGATGATGATGATTGTATGATGATGATGATGACGATGATGATGATGATGATGATGATGATGGTGCTGCTGATGATGGTGCTGCTGATGATGATGATGATGATGTTGATGATGATGTTGAAGCTGAAGCTGATGCTGATGATGATGATGATGAGGATGATGATGCGGATGATGATGATGATGGTGATAATGATGATGATGATGATGATGATGATGATGATGATGATGATGATGATGATGATGATGATGATGATGATGATGAGCTGATGATGCTGATGATGATGATGATGATGATGATGATGATGATGATGATGATGATGCTGATGATGATGATGATGATGATGATGATGATTATTATTAGGATGACGATGCAGATGAGGATGAGGACGAGGATGACGATGACCATGCGGATGATGGTGATGCTGATGATGCTGATAATGATTATGGTTGTGATGTCGGTGAGTATGGTGCCGAGGATGATGGAGGGAAGTATGCTGCTGCTACTGATGTTGGTGACGAGGACGAGGATGACGGCGACGAAAACGACGACGAATATCAAGCTGCCTGCGGCAAACACCGCCACCGTGCCTGTGCAACAGCGCTGCAGGAAGTAGACTGCGTGCAGGAGCAGCGCAATTCCGACAGCATTTAGCAAACCCCTGGTTCGGCAACATCAGTTTTCAAACAATCTTGCGCGCGCGCTCTTGCGAGTTTTTGGACAGCCATCGGTTTTTCAACATCGTCATCACATTCTGCCAAACGGGCCTCTCACGCCGCATGTCGAACTCTTCTGAACGTCCTTGCGTTTGGGGGGGGGGCACGATCCGTGTCAAATAATATCACGCGGGCCACTTGCGCGCGTCGGCCGCGCGCGCATGTCGAACTCCTTCCAAAACCTTCATCACCGACGCAAGATATCGTAATTGTTATCGGCGGGCGTGATCAACGTCGGTGCCGCCATTGGCCTTGCCGTCGTCATCGCCACCATCGTCACCATCATCGCTACTCTCATCATCGTGTCTACCGTTGTCGGCGTCATCATGATACCGCGCTCGCCCAAGTCACCGACTCGCACTGAAGTGCCCCACGGGAAGTGCCCAGCGGTCAGCGCCACCGCGGCCGCGTCCGTCGCGCCGCACTAGCTGGTCGCTGCGCGCGCGAGCATGCGCGGGCTAGCGCGGGCGCAGAGATGCACCAGCCAACGCCAAGCAGTCATCGCAATCGCCGTCGCACGGGTTTTGAAAACCAAGTTGCGGGTGGGTGGGTGGGATGAATGCGCGAGCAGTGGATTTGACAACTCACTGCGAGGATTGGTGGGTTGCACACCATCTATTGCCCACGTAGTGCACCACATATCCGTAATCATGTTGGCTCAAGGAAGTGTGGCACTGGTGCTCTGCCAATCTTCTGGCCAAGAGACTTCTCGCGGTCGGCGAGATGCGCGAGCTCGTTCACATCCAGGGCGGCCAGTGCGGTAACCAGATAGGAGCGAAATTCTGGGAGGTGATTTCAGATGAGCACGGGATTGACCCCACGGGTACCTACCACGGCGACTCCGACCTCCAGCTTGAGCGGATCAACGTGTACTACAACGAGGCCACGGGCGGGCGCTACGTGCCCAGGGCGGTGCTCATGGATCTGGAGCCTGGCACCATGGACAGCGTCCGCGCGGGGCCGTTCGGACAGTTATTCCGGCCGGACAACTTCGTATTCGGCCAGACTGGAGCTGGAAATAATTGGGCGAAAGGGCACTACACCGAAGGAGCCGAGCTGATCGATAGCGTCCTCGACGTCGTTCGCAAGGAGGCCGAGGGGTGCGATTGCCTGCAGGGTTTCCAAATGTGCCATTCCTTGGGAGGAGGCACAGGCGCTGGGATGGGAACCCTGCTGATCTCCAAGGTCCGCGAGGAGTACCCGGATCGCATCATGGAGACTTTCAGTATTATCCCCAGCCCAAAAGTTTCGGATACCGTCGTGGAGCCATACAACGCCGTCCTTTCTTTCCACCAGCTCGTGGAGAACGCGGACGAATGTTTCCTGTTGGATAACGAGGCGCTGTATGATATCTGTTTCAGGACGTTGAAGCTGACGACTCCAACGTACGGGGACCTGAACCACCTCGTGAGTGCGGCGATCAGTGGCGTGACCACGTGCCTGCGTTTCCCTGGGCAGCTCAACTGTGATTTGCGCAAGATCGCCGTGAATCTGATCCCGTTCCCGCGCCTGCACTTCTTCATGACTGGTTTCGCGCCGCTCACGAGCCGGGGTTCCCAGCAGTACAGAGCCCTGACAGTCCCTGAGCTGACCCAGCAGATGTTCGATGCGAAAAACATGATGTGCGCGGCAGACCCACGTCACGGTCGCTACTTGACCGCCGCGGCGCTCTTCCGCGGTCGCATGTCCACGAAGGAAGTTGACGAGCAGATGTTGAATGTGCAAAATAAGAATTCGTCGTATTTCGTCGAGTGGATCCCGAACAACATCAAAGCGTCAGTTTGCGACATCCCCCCGAAGGGATTGAAGATGGCGGTGGCTTTCGCCGGCAATTCTACCGCGATCCAAGAAATGTTTAAGCGTGTAGCAGAATATTTCACTGCCATGTTCCGGCGCAAGGCGTTCCTTCATTGGTACACAGGGGAGGGCATGGACGAGATGGAGTTCACCGAGGCCGAGAGTAACATGAACGACCTGGTTTCCGAGTACCAGCAGTACCAGGACGCCACCGCCGAGGAGGAGGGCGAGTTCGACGAAGAAGAGGAGGGCGAGCAGTGATGACGTCATTGACTCGCTGTGGCCAGCCTCCGAAGTCGTGCAACAGATGTGTGAGCAAATCAGTGCTGATGGGCCGTCGGCCAAGTACACATTTATGCATGAGCGGCCGTTTCCCCGCTCACCGCGAGAATTTGCCTCGAGCTCGGACGGCCAGACTGCCAGACCGTCTTCCCCATATACGAAAAAAGATTGCGCCACGCAGAGTGCACGACATGTACGGAACACATGCTGCACCACACGCACTGCACCACCCACGGTGCTCCGCATGCGCTGCATAACATGGCTTGTGCCACGCAGATTGCACCACATCGACTGCACAACGTCGATTGTCAGGAGGGAAAAAAACACACAGACACAATTAATCGTCGACTCCACAGAAATATAGGAAAATATGGGAAGTGGGGGGGAAATATGGGGAATCTGGTTATTTGTGTCTATTTATTTGTGTGTCCTAGGGTCCCTTCAGATTGCTAGAATACAAGCTGCTTGGGGTCCACGCTGGCTAACACCTGCTTCTTCCTCTCCACCCGACCGCTCGGCTGTGGGAGCTGGTCCGCCCCCAGGGGCTGCCCTGGGCCTCCAGCGTGGCTCCGGAGAGGCCCCGGAAGAGCCCCAGGACGGGGTCTCGAGAGGGCCACCGTGCCACGACTTGCGGCAGGTCTAAGTCGGGCCTGTCCCTCTACAGGAGGGATAGGCAAAGATAGTTTTAAGAAAATAGCCTGGGGGGCGATTTCTTGACTATTTTTGAGTATGTTTGGGGTATTTTTTGAGTGTAGTCAGTTGTCTACCGTTGTCGGCGTCGTCATGATACCGCGCTTGCCCAAGTCACCGACTCGCACTGAAGTGCCCCACAGGAAGTGCCCAGCGGTCAGCGCCACCGCGGCCGCGTCCGTCGCGCCGCACTAGCTGGTCGCTGCGCGCGCGAGCTTGCGCGGGCTAGCGCGGCCGCGGAGATGCACCAGCCAACGCTAAGCAGTCATCGCAATCGCCGTCGCACGGGTTTTGAAAACCAAGTTGCGGGTGGGTGGGTGGGATGATTGCGCGAGCAGTGGAGTTGACAACTCACTGCGAGGATTGGTGGATTGCACACCATCTATTGCCCACGTAGTGCACCACATATCCGTAATCATGTTGGCTCAAGGAAGTGTGGCATTGGTGCTCTGCCAATCCTCTGGCCAAGAGACTTCTCGCGGTCGGCGAGATGCGCGAGCTCGTTCACATCCAGGGCGGCCAGTGCGGTAACCAGATAGGAGCGAAATTCTGGGAGGTGATTTCAGATGAGCACGGGATTGACCCCACGGGTACCTACCACGGCGACTCCGACCTCCAGCTTGAGCGGATCAACGTGTACTACAACGAGGCCACGGGCGGGCGCTACGTGCCCAGGGCGGTGCTCATGGATCTGGAGCCCGGCACCATGGACAGCGTCCGCGCGGGGCCGTTCGGACAGTTATTCCGGCCGGACAACTTCGTATTCGGCCAGACTGGAGCTGGAAATAATTGGGCGAAAGGGCACTACACCGAAGGAGCCGAGCTGATCGATAGCGTCCTCGACGTCGTTCGCAAGGAGGCCGAGGGGTGCGATTGCCTGCAGGGTTTCCAAATGTGCCATTCCTTGGGAGGAGGCACAGGCGCTGGGATGGGAACCCTGCTAATCTCCAAGGTCCGCGAGGAGTACCCGGATCGCATCATGGAGACTTTCAGTATTATCCCCAGCCCAAAAGTTTCGGATACCGTCGTGGAGCCGTACAACGCCGTCCTTTCTTTCCACCAGCTCGTGGAGAACGCGGACGAATGTTTCCTGTTGGATAACGAGGCGCTGTATGATATCTGTTTCAGGACGTTGAAGCTGACGACTCCAACGTACGGGGACCTGAACCACCTCGTGAGTGCGGCGATCAGTGGCGTGACCACGTGCCTGCGTTTCCCTGGGCAGCTCAATTGTGATTTGCGCAAGATCGCCGTGAATCTGATCCCGTTCCCGCGCCTGCACTTCTTCATGACTGGTTTCGCGCCGCTCACGAGCCGAGGTTCCCAGCAGTACAGAGCCCTGACAGTCCCTGAGCTGACCCAGCAGATGTTCGATGCGAAACATGATGTGGCGCGGGCAGACCCACGTCACGGTTCGCTTACTTGAACGCCGCGGCGCTCTTCCCTCTTCCGCGGTCGCATGTCCACGAAGGAATTGCGTAGCAGATGGTTAATGTGCAAAATAAGAATTCGTCGTATTTCCGTCGAGTGGGATTCCACGAACAATCATCAAAGGCGCAGTTTGCGACCTCCCCCCGAAGGATTGAAATGGCGTGGCTTTCGCCCTGCAATTCTACCTGCGATCCAATAAATGTTTAAGCGTGTATGCAGAATAGTTCAATTCACTCCAATGTTCCGGCGCAAGGCGTTCCTTCATTGGTACGACAGGGAGAGGGCTGACGGAGTGGGTTCACACGAGGCCGGATAACATGAACACCTGGTTTCTCACACGGTACCAGCAGTACCAGGACGCCACCGCCGAGGAGGAGGGCGAGTTCGACGAAGAAGAGGAGGGCGAGCAGTGATGACGTCATTGACTCGCTGTGGCCAGCCTCCGAGGTCGTGCAACAGATGTGTGAGCAAATCAGTGCTGATGGGCCGTCGGCCAAGTACACATTTATGCATGAGCGGCCGTTTCCCCGCTCACCGCGAGAGTTTGCCTCGAGCTCGGACGGCCAGACTGCCAGACCGTCTTCCCCATCTACGAAAAAAAGATTGCGCCACGCAGAGTGCACGACATGTACGGAACACATGCTGCACCACACGCACTGCACCACCCACGGTGCTCCGCATGCGCTGCATAACATGGCTTGTGCCACGCAGATTGCACCACATCGACTGCACAACGTCGATTGTCAGGAGGGAAAAAAACACACAAACACAATTAATCGTCGACTCCACAGAAATATAGGAAAATATGGGAAGTGGGGGGGAAATATGGGGAATCTGGTTATTTGTGTCTATTTATTTGTGTGTCCTAGGGTCCCTTCAGATTGCTAGAATACAAGCTGCTTGGGGTCCACGCTGGCTAACACCTGCTTCTTCCTCTCCACCCGACCGCTCGGCTGTGGGAGCTGGTCCGCCCCCAGGGGCTGCCCTGGGCCTCCAGCGTGGCTCCGGAGGGCCCCGGAAGAGCCCCAGGACGGGGTCTCGAGAGGGCCACCGTGCCACGACTTGCGGCAGGTCTAAGTCGGGCCTGTCCCTCTACAGGAGGGATAGGCAAAGATAGTTTTAAGAAAATAACCTGGGGGGCGATTTCTTGACTATTTTTGAGTATGTTTTGGGTATTTTTTCCCCATATCCTAAGGATTGGGGTTCTTGTTATTACTCTGACGCCTCCCACTGCTCCTCCTTCCTCCCGCTCGCGCCTCCCTCCTCCCAATGATAATCACCAGATAAGACAAGACAAGATAAGATACTACAAGATAAGATAAGATATCACAATATATGATAAGGTAAGATAAGATATATGACAAGGTCGGATAATAGATAAGATAAGACAGCCCATGGAGTAATAATATAAGACAAGATATGATGCGATAAGATGAGTTGATATAAGATAAGCTAAGACAAGATAAGAGATTTCACTCACACTCTCTCATGATCACAAAACGCTGCCAGGGGCATCATTTGGGAGCCCCAAGGGGGAGCCACCCTGGCTGATATCACGAGCCCGTTCGCGCCGATGTTGGTGGGACGTCTCAGCTAAAATTGCCGTTTGGCCTCCCCAACATGTCTCTCTTGAGAGCCTCATTATCACAAAACGCTGCCAGGGGCATCATTTGGGAGCCCCAAGGGGGAGCCACCCTGGCTGATCTCACGAGCCCGTTCGCGCCGATTTTGGTGGGACGTCTCATCTAAAATTGCCGTTTGGCCTCCCCAACATGTCTCTCTTGAGAGCCTCATGGTCACAAAACGCTGCCAGGGGCATCATTTGGGAGCCCCAAGGGGGAGCCACCCTGGCTGTTTTCACGAGCCCGTTCGCGCCGATTTTGGTGTGACGTCTCAGCTAGAATTGCCGTTTGGCGCCCCCAGCATGTATCTCTTGAGAGCCTCATGGTCGCAAAACGCTGCCACGGGCATCATTTGGGAGCCCCAAGGGGGAGCCACCCTGGCTGATCTCGACGAGGCCGTTCTGCGCGTTTTGGTGGGGGACGTCCTCCCTAAAATTGGCCGTTTGGGCCTCCCCAAAATGTCTCTCTCTTGAGAGCTCATGGGCGCAAAACGCTGCCGATGGGACATCATTTGGGACCGCCCCAAGGGGGAGCCACCCTGGCTGATATCACGAGCCCGTTCGCGCCGATTTTGGTGGGACGTCTCAGCTAAAATTGCCGTTTGGCCTCCCCACATGTCTCTCTTGAGAGCCTCATGATCACAAAACGCTGCCAGGAGCATCATTTGGGAGCCCCAAGGGGGAGCCACCCTGGCTGATCTCACGAGCCCGTTCGCGCCGATTTTGGTGGGACGCCTCATCTAGAATTGCCGTTTGGCGTCCCCAACATGTATCTCTTGAGAGCCTCATGGTCACAAAACGCTGCCAGGGGCATCATTTGGGAGCCCCAGGGGGGGTCCACCAGGGGCTTCATAGTCACCAAACGCTGCCAGGGGCAGCATTTTGGCTTCCCAAAAGGGAGTCGACCCGGGCCTCCTAGTCGCCAGACACTGCCAGGGGCACCATTGGGATTCAGACTCGCACCCAGACTCACTCATACACAAGCTCACTCACACTCAGATTCATTTCTTC